TTTTCTTTAGAAAAACATTCACTCTGTAAATACACCTAATCTACGTCAACAAATGACAGACCAACTGGTGAGAAGTGACCCTGTTCGTTGTTAGTCTTATTCAAAGGTGGGCTTATTTAAATAGCTGTAGAAATACATATTGTGTTTTATTTAATGGGATGATATTTATTTGGTATAAGGGATAGGGATAAAACAGACAAACAAAAAAACCCCCTCAATCTATTTTATACAACAGTGAGTAAAGAAAATGCACTAAAAGTGGGCCAGCCGAGTGGCGTGTTGGTTAAGAGTTAGCTTGGGACATCAGCTCTGAGCAGCAGGGCCCCGGTTCGGATCCCACATTAGGGCCAGTGATGCTGCGCCCTCTACAGCTAAGATGGTGAACAACAGCTCAACCTGGAGCTGGGCTGCCGTGAGTCGCTGGTGACAGCGTAGGCTGCAGTGAAGCTGCAGTGGGTTCCATAAGCTACTGGGGGTGGCTGGAAGCCGGCGTGAGCTGCCAAGAGCTGCCATGAGCGGCCGTCCAGTGGCCGGCGACTGATCTGCCTCACCTGGGAAGAGCGCAATGATAATACCAACATGGACCAGTGAAGCGACGTCCTCCACAACTAGACTGAAGAACCAAAGGACAGCATCTTGTCTGTTCCCCTTCCCCAACTCCCCAATAAAATCTTAAAAAAAAAAAGAAAAGAAAAAGAAAGTGAAGAGGGAAAGAAAAAGGCACAAAGCATAGAGAAAACAAAATCCTGCTTGCTGGCTTTAAAAAAAAAAGAAAGTGCACCAAAAGCAAAATAGCTAATTAGCCACATTACATTTTCAGCTACAACATTATAGAAAGTACTAGTCACTACCACAAATCCAGGGCTTCACTGTCTTTCTTTTCTCCCTTTCTGCATAAAACTACAATAGAAATTTATTACAGGTTGGCATCTTGAAGATAGGGAGATTTAGTGTTTTCATAAGTTAGGAAGGCATGAGGCTTTTTAAAGAAGTTTATTTCAAAAATAGAAGTGACAAGACACTTTCTCATTTAAAGTATATTATAGTATTTTGTAAAAAAAAAAATAAACAATATGCCTCCCACAAGCTTATTTTCCTGTGGAGACAAGCTCAGTTAAGTGGGCAGATGTTCTCCTGAGTTATTTTAATAGAATCCTGCTGCTGGGTCCTTTGTCTCAGCTCTAGTAGGGCTCAGTATGCACTGGAAGCTTCACCTTCCAGGCTCTTTAATCACCGTATTCACTGCCAGCTCCAACACTTGGTTGGTTCTCACCTTAGCTGTGAGTTCCTTACTCAATCTTTAACTCATAAAGGAATATGAAACTTTTATTTTTGGTACTATGGTAGCTCTTATTATGTCTGTGTTTTCTAAAAGAGCTTTTGCTGTTAAGCTTTTCACAATGAAACTCTATCATGGATGAAATAATTATAGGGGCACCTCACTCAACATATTCTTCTGTAAGATATGAAAGTGATTTTATTTGCAAATAGAAATAGTTTAAATCCCAGGGCAGCTTGTTATTTTAAGGAGCCTATTGTGAATCTGTCTTTAGAAAAATCACTCCATATTTTTCAATTAAATTAAAGAAAAATGGTAAATAATTTCACTAGAGCTTGATTGTATATGTTTCCTTCTTTTATTTATTTAAATAAATTAAATTTAAATCCTTAAGCAAAATACTAGGTAAATAATCTTTTCTGTATGTAAGAATTGTATATTTTTCTGAGACAAATGCCTGAATCCATCATTTGTTTTCCCCCTCAAGCTCCTTGGCATCAGAATTTTCTTGGAGCCCCATGAGTCCAGTAAGGAAGTACTGATATTTCTCTGCTGTGAAGTTGAGATAACCTGATTTGTTGTATTTCCTCTGTAGCGAATTTATCCCCAGATTTCTCACTCCTTGATTGGTCTCTTTCAGACTCCCTTCTGTCCCCCACTCTTTTACAGCCCCTGCCAGGCTAACACTCCTAACTGCACAGGTTCCCCTGGCTCACTGCACTGCTCTGCTCAGAAGCCTCTCATGGCTCCCTACTGCTTAGAGAATCAAGTCTAATCTTAAGTTGGCCCCGAGCACCCTTCCTAGCCCACCTCCTCAGCTGAGCATCCAGTGTTTCCTTGCTGACACCTCCCTTCAGCCACCTGGGTCTGCTGGCCACTCACTAGCCCACTGCTTGGCCTGCCTTCACTTGGACATATCGCTAACCACCTGTCAAGGCTTCTTTTGTCGCATCCATGTAGCTCTGCTACCTCTCAAGAGTAGATAGTTCCCCCTGTTGAGTAAAAGAAAGTGTCTAGGGAACAGTTTTGAAGATATAAAAAAAAAGTAGTTTAAATTCAGCTTTAACTCTGTATAAATATAACTAAGCTCTGTCAACATTTATATAACTTTTCCAGTCCTGCAGATGGTATTTTCAATTGAGGGTTGGGAACCATCTCTTATTTATCTTTATATCCACTTGGGACCAACCCAAGGTATTCAGGAAATAATGAATGACTGGTCAGCACTGTGAATGTGGTCAGATGCTGGGTAGCACGTCTTACTCTAAACTATTTTGTAAATTGTGGCATGGTAAGAAGACAGATGGCTACAGAGCATTAAAATCTATATTCTAATACCTCTGCTCTCATTATGGAAAGTTCTGGTGTTTATTTCCAGAACCATTTGCTTCCCCTGTTGCTTCTGAAGGTTGTTTGGGCAATCAAAAGAGGAACAGTAGGTAAAAATTTTTTGAAAGTGACAAAACTCCATCTAGTTTTAAGGTGAGATTGTTACGATATTTGGGGCTGAAAAGCATATTAACTTTCTCAGGCTTCGCCCCAGTGTGTCCATCCACTCAAGTCCAGTTGCAGTCTCTGACAAAATAAATAACCCATTTGGCTACATTCCTTTCTCAGTGTTGACACCTTCTCATTTAAATAGCAAATGGCTATCCTGGCTCACAAATCTGCCCTCTTCAGGTACTATTGGTTCTGATGGGACGAATAGGATAGTAGCTCAGTATTTGGCCAGAATCAGAACAGTGGCCGCTTTTGTGCATCAGGGTGGACACAATGTGTGGCTGCTTCAGCTGATAATGAAACCATCCGGTGCCCTCATCCTGCCACACTGCATTTGCCTGGCAGGAGAAGAATTTCGAATGCACTGACTTGCTGTGTTACTTACTTTTGCCGCTGATTCTATACAAGGAATTGTTTCTACTAGAGAGCTCTGGTGGGAGGGAGGGGGCATGTACTTAACGGTGAGAGCACGAGCTCCAGCATTGGACTGCCTCCATCCAAATGCTGCCTGACTGTTTTCAAACTATGTGACGTCCTGCAGGCCACACAGTGTCCCTGGGCCTTGGTTTTCTCTTTTCTATGAGATGCAAGAAAATAATTTTTAACCTCAGGGTTGCAGTGAGATTGAAATTAGAAAATGCAGTGAAGGCAATTAGTAGAATTGATAAAATTTTGCTTGAACTTGAGTTTCAGACTTCTGAGGCAATAGTAGTTCAAATCAAATCCGTTGAGCGATATTTTCTATCAAAGTGTTGCTGATTCAAGAAGAAAAACAGGGCTAAGCTACTCCCCATTTCCTCCTTACCCATCCTCTCAGCGCCGCCCCCCCCAGTGCTCTGTCCTGTACCAACTTATTGGCTGAGCTCACCTTTAAGAGTCAGTCACAATCCTTTTCGTCCTCTGAATCAGTGGGAATAACCAGCCAAATTGATGGTGTCTCCTTTACTTCTCTTCTTCTGCCTTCAAACCCAGATAGCTGGGGTGCTTGTTTCTGCTTCATGGGCTTAAAACACAAATCATTTTCTTGGCAGACTGCTGCAGGTATGATGAGGTAAGGAGGGAAGCTAATTCACAGGTGAGCTAACTCATCTAGAATGTAGGCACCTGAGGGGATGTCAGGACTGCCCATCTTCACTTTGTACCTAGTAATTGATTTCAAATTTCTCACCCCTTGCTGGAATGGCTGGAGAGATGAGTACAATGTATCACGGAAATGTTTACTGCTTTTAGTCTCTGCTATTGACAACAAAAAGCATGAAGCATATAACAACTTTGCACTATTGACATACAGCCTACAAGCAAAGATGATGACCACAATAACAACTACCGTTTCCTGTGAACATAGTGACTGGCCCAAAGTCAGGTGAGACTTTCACACAGATTAGCTCTATTCTCGACATCTTGTGGTGAGCTTCTATTTTTATTCCCATTTTACAGATGAAGAATCTGAGGCTGAGAAGAGTTAAATAACTTGTCCTAGGTCATTTGTAAAAAAAGTAATACAGCCAAATTCAAATCAAGTCAGGGTTACCTTGAAGCTTGAGATCACACTAACTATGTTATAGTCAGTCAACTGTAAAAAACAAATAAAACATTTTATTTTGTAGGGTGTATGGCTAATTAGAATTTTTAAATTTACACATGGTAAAAAAGTTCTTTTTTATTTTTTTATTTTTTTTATTGGGGAATTGGGATGGGAACAGTGCTGGGGAATTGGGGGTAGGGGAACAGACAAGCTGCTGTCGTTTTGTTCTTCAGTCTAGTTGTGGAGGACGTTGCCTCACTGGCCTAAGTTGGCACCATCATTGCACTCTTCCCAGGCGAGGCAGATCAGTCGCCGGCTTCTGGACAGCCGCTCACTGCGGCTGCTTGCCGCTTACGCTGGCTGCTGGCTATATACAGTAGCCCATGGCAACCCACTGCCACAGGGGCTGCAGTCTACACCATCTCCAGCGACTCACGGCATCCCAGCTCCAGGTTGAGCTGTTGTTCAGCATCTTAGCTGTGGAGGGCAGTGTCACTGGCTCTTATATGTGGGATCCGAACCGGGGCCCTCTGGCATCCCAAGCCAGTTCTTAACCATCGTGCCACTCGGCTGGCCCTAAAATAATTCTTATTAGCAATCTTTGAAGTCCGTGGACTCATCTGTATTGAGCTTTATGTTGTCCACATTTGGAGGAAGGAGCAGTGTCACAAACATTATTTCATCTTTGTTTTCCAGCGTCTATCGTGATTCAGAAATGGTGGTGTCACATGCATCCGTGTTTGGAAGGAGAGGATTGTAAAGTGCTGCCAGATTACTCAGGTTGGTCCTGTAGCAGTGGCAACAAAGTCAAAACTACCAAGGCAAGTATAGACAAAACACAACGGTGACTTAACTTTAGCATTATTAACTCTGGGCTTCCCCCCTTCATTTTATGCAGCTATAAAGAGGACACCATTATCTATCTTGGTAAACCTGGATCGGCAGTGCCACCGTGTTTGGCCTTTATGAAAAGTCCTCTTCCTAGCATCACCCTTTATGTCAGATTTTACTGAGCAGTGATTTGGTGGATGAACTCGTTATTTTAGTCAGGGCTACCAAGTTAATTTCAGATCTTTCGGGGTCAAATATATGGTGACAGAAGGAGATTTGACATTGGGTGTGAATACACAATGCAGTATACAGATGATGTATTATAGAATTGTACACTTGAAAGCTATATAATTTTATTAACCAGTATCACCCCAATAATTTAATTAAGAGTTGACAAGTCAGTGTATCAAAAGGGCATGGCAAGAATCTACATATGGGTGATTTACTAAAGTAGAAATATGTATGCCTGTAAGGCGATTCTAATTCAAGTCTTACAAGTCAAAACTTTCCTCCTCAAATGGTTCTCTTTCCAGTTCTCCCTGTCTCAGAAGGACACTGCTGTCAACCCAGTTCTTGAGCCAGAAATCCAACTTCTTCCTTATGTCCCCATGTCCGACATTTATTTTGCCCATGGGATTGCTACTTCCAAATCCCTCCACGACTCTGCATCACTGTACTTACAGCCCCCATCCAGTCCATCCCTGTGTCTCATCTGGACCACTGAGCTGCTGCCTCACATTTGTTCTTGCTCCCGTCCAGTCTGTTCTCTATACGATGGTGACATTCATTTTTGTGAAATGTGAATCTTCTAAGCTAGTGCACCGCCAGATTTTTCTAATGGTATCCCTTGGCTCCCTGCTCCACTAGCCCCTGCCTGTCAGGCCCTTAATAAATCAACGGGCAAGCTACCTGCCTTCCATTCTTTCTGCTCCGGACACCTCTGTTGGCTATTATTCCCTCTTATGCTGGTGTCTGTGGTTGTAAAGGAATATGCTCTTCATGGAATGTACTTCCCTCCTTTTTTTCTAGTTTACCATTATTTCTTCAGGGAACACTTCCCTGACTAGATTCTTGTCCCCTTTACCTTTGAGTATTTACTACGGTTATATTTTACATCGATTGGTATACAGTTGACCCTTGAACAACTTGACACACCCTCTACCCCTTCGCACTGCCCCCTCCTCTGGCAGTAAGAAAACCACGTATAACTTTTGACTCCCTCAAAATTTGAGGTCCCTCAGTATCTGTGGGAGATTGGTTTCAGGAGCCCCACAGACGCCCACATCTACTGATGCTCAAGTCTCCTTTATAGAATGGGTAGATAAATGCACACAGCCTGCCCTCTGCATCTGCAAACTTCCACCTGCAGATGGAAAGCACTACAGGTATTTATTGAAAAAACTTTGCATGTTAAGTAGCCCCCCGCAGTTCAAACTCCTGTTGTTCAAGGGTCAGCTGTACTTATTTGCCTAATACCTAGAGCTCTCTGTCCAAGGCAGAGCTGGGAAGTCAGGGCGCGTGCCTATTTCTGCTTACCCTGATAGTCCCAGAGCTTGCTGAGTGCCTCATTAACTATTTTTTTGAATGAATATTAGTAAAATGGGACATTCTTGGATTATTAGAATGAGACACTGGAATGGAGAGACTCTGTAGATATGGTTTCTTTCTGAGCTTTGTCCCCTTAGGAGGTACAATGACTCGAATGACTTCTTATCTTGCTTACATTTCTCCCTTTATGAGTATTTTGAACTACTAAACAGAGTTCTTATTCATCTTCAACCACTAAGGTCAAAAGCAGGAGAATTCTTCTCTTAATTGTGTAAAAAACATATAATAAAATTTTATAAAATAAATATTTAAATATAATGCCATTAATATAAAAGATATTAAATCAAAAATGTAAAAATAATATATTTTATAATCAATTTTAAAGTAAATGTAAATTTTTGTTGACATTATCATACCAAGAATTATCGATAGTATATTAAGTCAGTTGATTAAGTTCCTTATTATCTATTGAAAGCATAATTTCAAAACCAAGACTATTTTCAATTATTAATTGCAATTATCATCTAACTTGTCCTTGTCAGTGATACCAAAGAGATGAGGATATATGACCTGACACATGCATTTATATCCAGAGCAGTGGAAGTTCACAGAGTCATTGGTTGGAGGAAGGAGGTTAACACTCCATCATTTCTATCAACTCCTCTTCTAAACCGACCCCAATGAACTCCCAATCTATATAAACCCAAGTGTACCTGCTATGCAAACCCTGCCGTAAACTAATCCCACTCTTGTTTTGCCACTGGCTCCTTTCAGCCATTTTCCCCCTAAACCCTCCCAAAATAAAAATCTTGGTGTTACCAACGAGCTAGGATCTTACTTATATCCATCAATGATAAGATTTTCTTTTATTGAAATTCTTGTAGACGAAGAAGTAACATTTCGGAAGGTTATATTTGCATTGATTTTGACATATAAATATGAAACAGGACCATGAGTGCAAGCCAGTCATAATCCGGAAAAGCATGTGTCAAAGTAGCCTCTTGCTACAGTGATTCCCTCTCCATTTATGTACAATTAGAGAGGACATTTGCAGGAAGCAAACCTTTAGGGGCATTTTGGCTCTGTGCGGTGGGAATACAAGTTTGCTCTAGCTAAATCCTCAACAGTAGTGACATTTTATTTGGCACTTTGAAAAGTTGTAGAAGCATAATACAGTTCCCTAAGCTATCATGATACTTAGCTGCTTTGTTTTTAGTGATAAGCCACTTGAAAATAATCTCGAAGTTGTAAAACTTTGTTTCCTTTATTAATCCTAGTCAGTGTGACTTGAGCACTGCATAAAACATTTTATGTCTTTTATGGATCTTTTGCACATACAGTAAGGTCATTTGTGGAGGTGTGACTGGCTTCTGTGCCCACAGAAGCTGTATCTTTTTCTTATAATCACCTGACCTTATACCACTGGTGAGACAGCAGCCCTACAAAGGTAGAGCAATTGCCACCCTAAAGGAGAAGGTATTAACTATATATCAAAATAGTTTCCATTTTCCTTAAACTTCCCTTAAATTTCCTTAAACTTTCCTTAAATTTCCCAACAAAACATAGAAGGGCCAAAAGGTAAGATTGTCTGCCTACAGTAAGCCACCTATGTCAGAATTTTGTTTTCCATTTGCATGCAAATTTGAAAAGAGCTTACAGTTACCTTGAGATATTAATAGGCTTAGATGAAGATATCAAGATGAGAGGGGACAACTCCCTAACCAGTCATTTTGTCTTTCCCAAAGTATAGAAGGTTGGCATTGAGCTTATTCTGCTTGTGTAGTTTTCAAGGTCCCCAGAGAGGGTGCAGCTATTATTTCTTCTGGAAAACTATAACTCTCTCTCTCTCTCTCTCTCTCTCTCTCTCTCTCTCTCTCTGCTGTCCTGCTTCAATTTCCATTTTCTTCATTCTGGGTTTTACTGCATTCTTTGTGCTAAAGCGTTAGTTTTTTATCTGAGTTGTCAGCATTAAGGTTCCTAGCAAGAGCATGACATCATCTTTGTACCAAAGCCAACCATGTGCCATGGCTTTTGTTGTTTGAAAATAGAAGTGGGTCATATTAAATATCAAGGACTTTCAGATTTTTTGATATTCTTACTTTTACAACACCTACTAAGGGTGAAGAGCTATGTCTCTAGAGCAGTAGTTCTCCACTAGGGGAAATTTTGCCCTCTAGGGCTATTAGATGTCTGGGGACACTTTTAGTTGTCACACATTGGGGAGGGGATGTTATGACATCTTTTGGGTAAACACCAGGGATGCTCTACTAAACACCCTAAAACGTATAGGGTAGCCTCCATAACAAACCATTGTCTGGCCCCAATGTCAATAGTGCTGAGATTGAAAAATACTGCTTTAGAGAATAGTATATATTTTTCAGTAGCTCTTTGTAAGCATCCTACCTGATTCCCTTATGTCATTTTGTTCTTCAAAGTGTCTAATTGTTTCTAATAGTTTATATTGGAAAGCTAAGGTAGGAGTTAAAAATTTAAACAACAGGGTTTTTATTCAATGCCTCCATCACTCTAAAGATCTAAGATGACCAAGTCCTCCTGTTATTGTCCTCAGATGGCTCTCTGATTGATCCCTTTCTCTGTCCCTTGGGCTACCACATTGGGCCGTCCTCCTCTTTTGCCACAATGTTATACTAATTGACTGATATCAGTAGCTGTAGAAAAATCATCGTGGGCACTTGTTAAAAATGCACTGCTTTGAGCCCCACTTGCAGGAGATTCTAGTATGGTGAGCCTGGGGTGGGGCTTAGAAAGCCATACTTTACAAAAATGGTTGGGGTGAGTGACGAACAAACACACAGGAGTCACTGGTTTTTGTTTTTTTTTTTAAGTTTTTTTATTGGGGAATTGGGGGAGGGGAACAGACAAGTTGCTGTCCTTTTGTTCTTCAGTCTAGTTGTGGAGGACGCTGCTTCACTGGCCCATGTTGGTATTATCATTGTGCTCTTCCCGGGTGACGCAGATCCGTCGCCAGCCTCTGGACAGCCGCTCACGGCATCTCCTGGCAGCTCACACCAACTACTGGCCACTCACGGTGGCTGCCGGCAGCCCACTGCAGCAGGGGCTACAGCCTACGCCGTCGCTGGTGACTCATGGCAGCCCAGCTCCAGGTTGAGCTGTTGTTCACCATCTTAGCTGTAGAGGGTGCAGTGTCACTGGCCCTCATGTGGGATCCGAACTGGGGCCCTGCTGCTCATAACTGGCATCCCAAGCCAGCTCTTACCCAATGTGCCACTCAGCTGACCCAGGAGCCACTGGTTTAACTGAGCTCCCTACTGGTCCCAGCTCTCACCTTTATTGGTTTATATTCTGCTCTCTGTGCCACCAGCATCAACTCCCTACCCAGGTTCCTCCCTGATGATAGGCCATTCATGGATCCCCATTGGCAACAGGTAGAAAATACAGGTACAAACATTTTGGGGATGACCTTCATTGACACTCATCCAGTGGGCCATGTGTTTCCATACCCCATTGCTTTCTTCTCCATCTCCTTTCTCTTCTAAAGTTCCACTTGTGTTTCCTGGTCTAGCTGAGATGGCTTCTTTAACCTGAAGTCTTGTGTCCCCTGATTCCTACAGCCAGAGCTTAAAATACTCAGGGTACTGTGTCACATGAGAGAGAAGCTAATGTTGGCATGTTAGCAACCTTTATCCACAAAATTCCAAAATAATGATGAACATTCTTTATACGCTCAGCAAAATAAAAGTTTTACAAGAAAATACATCCTAATATATCTTATCCAACTTTCATTGTAGATAGGCTCTAAATGAGCTGGGCATGCAGAATGGGCTTCCTTTAATAAGATGCCTTTGAGAATTCCATCCTAGATGGAGATCAATACTTGGCTGTGAACACTGTTAGGTCATATATAGATGCATGATAGACCTGGGAGGAGCTAACATGGCAGCAGCCACCCTTCTTGAGTGTTAACCACATGACAGGCACTGGGCCATGTAATTCAGTTCATATACTTCAGTCACTCTTCACTGCAGCTGAAGGGAGTGGGTGCTATATTTACATTAGGCAGATGAAGAAACTAAAGCAAAGAGAACCAGTCCTCCACATCCAGAAAACGACCAATCCAGTCATCAGGTTTGTCAAGCCAAAGGCTGATCCCTCTTTCTGTCACATTCTTCATCCTGTTTGTCACAAGTTCTTTTGGCTTCCCCTTTCATCACTTCAGCCAAGTGATCCCTTTCAGATGCAGTCTGCCATGCGTTCTTCATCTCACCTTTGTACCTCCGTCAGAGAAAGGCAAAACGCCTCGCATTGGCTTGCAACCCCCCTTGCAGTCACCTCTCCATCTGGAAAGCCCTTCCCCCAGACAGTCTAGGGTTCCCTCCCTCCTTTCCTCCAAGTGTTTCCTTCTCTGACCATCCTCTATAAAACAGTAGCTGTCTCCTGTCCCTGCCCCAATGTTTCTTTTCAACATTATACTGATTTACTTTTCTCCATAGCACATAGCACCTGTGATATACTATTCATTCGCCTGTTTGTCCAATCCTTTCTTCTAGAATAGGAGTCAGCAAGCTATGGCTTGCTAGCCAAATCCAGCCCATGGCCTGTGAGCTAAAATGGGTTATGTATACAATTTTAAGTGGTTGGATAAATCAAAAGAAAATAATATTTCATAACATATGAAAATGATATGAAACCTGAATTTCAGTGTCCATAAATAAAGCTTTATCAGAACAAAGCCACACCCATTAGTTTACAGGTTGTATTGCCCCTGTGGCTTTTGCAGTATACAGGCAGAGCTGAGTAGTTGTGACAGTGACTGTACACTGTAGAGGTGAACATATTTACTGTCTGGTCCTGTAGAGAAAAAATGTGTGGGCCCCTACTCTAGGTAAGCTCCATGAGGATGAGGTTTTTGTTTTGTTTGCTCTAGTATTCCAGCACAAACAGAAGAGCAATTGCATTGTAGAATACATAAATAAAGGCCATTTTCAGTAGTGAATCTGAGGTTTAAATAAATACTTGATTGGATCTAAAGACCAGGCATGATGACTGCTATCAAATAATATAATTTAGTTTGAAAATATTTTCATGGAGTAGACATGTTAAAGTCATAAGCTTTTATTTTTTTTCTAGTTGGTGGATTGATTATCTAATCTGTAAAATGTCTTACATGAAGAAATCAAACTACAGAAATTGCTGGTCTGTTTTCTTAGATTCTAAGTAATGAGACTGGGGTGTTTAAAAGTGGGAAAAAAACAACAACAAACTTTTTAGTGGATGTATGTTTCCATTACATATCATAGTTTTATAAAATAACCTATTCTTTAAAATGCAAGTTAACTACATTAAAAAAGTAACAATTTTTTTTAAAGTTTTTTTTAATTGGGGAATTGGGGGATGGGAACAGCACTGGGGAATTGGGGAAGGGGAACAGACAAGTTGCTGTCCTTTTGTTCTTCAGTCTAGTTGTGGAGGACGTTGCTTCACTGGCCCAAGTGGGCACCATCATTGCGTTCTTCCCGGGCGAGGCAGATCAGTCGTCGGCTTCTGGACGCCCGCTCACTGCGGCTGCTGGCCGCTCACGCTGGCTGCTGGCTACACACGGTAGCCCATGGCAACCCACTGCCGCAGGGGCTGCAGCCTAAGCCGTCGCCAGCGACTCATGGCAGCCCAGCTCCAGGTTGAGCTGTTGTTCAGCATCTTAGCTGTGGAGGGCAGTGTCATTGGCCCTCATATGTGGGATCCGAACCGGGGCCCTCTGGCATCCCAAGGCAGCTCTTAACCACCACGCCACTTGGTGGATTTTTTTGTTTGTTTTTTTTTTGTTTGTTTTTAGCTGAGCCATCCTGCCACCTGTTGGTAGCTCAGTGGCTGCTCAGCTCGGGCCGGGACTCGAACTGCTGTTGCTCAGAGCTCAAACTCTTGAGCGAGCTCTTAACCAACTGAGCCACTCAGCCGGCCCTTCGGTGCATTTTTTTAACATTTAAAAAAGGCAACATTTTCATCTTGACATATGGTGATTTTAATCAGCATTCATTTAAAAAAATCTGAGCACCATTAACAAAGCACGCTCAGCATGTGTGAGTCAACCTGATGGGCCATGAATGTACCTAATCTGGTGGAATTTTTATAACTCCAAAAAAATACAAAGCTGGGATGCATAACACCATGTGTGGAAGGCTTGGTGCATGTTTTCTCTTTTTTATAAAAAAATTAATATTTTCAATTACAGTTGACACTCAATATTATATTAGTTTTAGGTGTACAGCATAGTTGTCAGACATTTATATAATTTATGAAGTGATCTGTCTGACTAGTCTAGTACCCACCTGGCACCACACATAGTTATTACAATATTATTAACTCTATTCCCTATGCTGTACTTTATATCCTTGGGACTATTTTGTAGCTTCCAATTTGTATGTCTTAATCCCTTCCCCTTTTTCACTCAGCCACCCAACCCCCTTCCATCTGGCAACCATCAAAATGTTCTCTGTATCTATGAGTTTGTCTCTGTTCTGTTTGCTCATTTATTTTGTTTTTTAGATTCCACATATAAGTGAAATCATATACTGGGGGTGCCAAAAAAGTGCTGCCCCAGAAAATGTATACATATTTTAAGATAACATCTCTTAAAATGTGTATACTTTTTTTTTGGCAGCATTTTTTTGGTACCCTCTGTGGTATTTGTCTTTCTCTGTCTGACTTATTTCATTTAGCATAATACCCTTTAGATCCACCCATGTTGTCGCAAATGGTAAGATTTCATTCTTTTTATGGCTGAGTAATATTCCGCTGTATATATGTACCACCTCTTCTTTATCTAACCATCTATCGATGAACACTTAGGCACTTAGGTTGCTTCTATATCTTGACTATTGTAAATAATGCTGCAGTGAACATAAGGATGCATATAGCTTTTTAATTAGTGTTTTGAATTTCTTCAGAAGAAGCAGGATTGCTGGGTCATATGGTAGTTCTATTTTAAATTTTTTGAGGACCGTTCATACTGTTTTCTACAGTGGCTGCACCAATTTGCAGTCCCATCAATGCATGCTTTCTTTGCATCCTAAAAGCCAGAAATGTAAAGAAGAATTTGAATAGTTGATTGGGTGAGGTTGGTAATGGATAAAGGTGCAAGCTGCTACACTCTACACAATGACACAGGCAGGGACATAGAGGTCTGGTGGCAGGAAGGATTATCTTTGGTGGATATGGGGTATTGAATGCTCACATATTTAATTTGTTTTAGGTTACACGGTAGCAGAGAGAGGTGTGCTTCAATCCCGGAGGAGCTACAAGACACAGCACTCTCTTGTTTGGATTACTGGCCTGGTCTCTTTGTGGAAAACTGTCTTGGATTCCCAGCAACATTATATGTGCATACGTGTGCTGTGAGGAGTGGCGTTCACTTACCGGTCCCAGCCCTCTGTGCTTCATGATTTTATGACATTGAATTATAACCACAGGCTGCCACACAATTGACATCCTATCTGGATCCCAAGGAACATACCTCTAAGAAATCCTGGAGGAACAAAACATAGACTTCAGAATGGATTGCCACTAAAGGAATGTTGGGTCTTCATTTCTTTCTGCCTTTACAAAGAAATGTGGACATAGGTTTCACAGGGTCCTCATGCATTTCCTCTTTTGAACTTTTCCTTTAGCCCTTGCATTAAAGTGGTTTGAAAGGGATCTAAATAACAAAACATTTTTGCAAAACATATTTATGGATGTAGGTTAATGAATTCTGATAAACTGGTAATGAAAATTTATTTTATAAACCTTGAAGAATAGCAGGACTTATTGAGGTTATTGTGTGTGAATTTTATTTTTCCTTTTGATGAATTAAAATTTTTGTATTTTAATTTCCATTGTCAGGTTAGCAGAAATAAAATGTGAACATTTTAACTTCAGTGTACCATTTTGCTGAGTGCTAAGAAAGCCTATCAACTTCAATATTTTATAACCAAAGCTCTATCATGACATATTCACACAAGAAATAAAACCTGTTGGGATTTTTATGGCTAATGTGTAGTCATAGAAGTAAGTAATTTAAAATAGAAAATTATCTCTGTTTAGATCAAGGGTGATTTCTTAGATCCAGTTTATGTCAATTATACTAAAATATTTTGTTACTTGTAGACAAGAGTCTTGAAATGCTGAATTTTTAGACTGTAAAAGATTTATTCTTAACTTAGCTCTTTACCTGCTTATTTGTTAATCATTTTATTTCTTTAAATGTAAGTAAAATCTGAGACTTTTTTTCTTGGCTTAATGATTTTTGTAGCAGATGTGTCTTCGCATATTCTCAGAAAGCTGTCATGCAGAAATATATTACAGATGAAAAGCAACCGACCCAGATTTTAAATGCATAATGTTATTAAAACACATACTACTATAATAATATGGGATAGATTTTATATTATATATAGTAAGAAATGCCCAAAGCTTACTTTTTGCACTATTATCCCTGTCCCCTTACAATTATGGGGATTATATTACTATAATGTTTATAGTAGTAACAATTACATCTACTTGATTGTATTCTTGCAAAAGGAATGGAAATAGGTGATATCCATTTGTTTGCTAAGTTTTGTTTGAATTTGACTGATTGGATGTTTATGAGAATTATTTCTTTTAGTAAGTAAAAAATTCATTCTGCTGATGGCATACTGTAAGTTTTTGTGATTATTTTATTACCTTGTGTTAACATCCCAGGCTTGCAAATTTTAAATGCAAAAGTGAAAAATAACTTAAAAAATAATATTTAACTTTGGGGATGTGAACTATAAGGAAAACTTGAGACTTAAATATAAATTGCTACTTTATTTCTTCTCCCAAACCATGTAGTATTAAGGAGATAAAATCTAGGGGGTTTAATTAAGTTTAAAACATTCATGATGTTTAATGTATACTCTATTGCCTTTAGTATAAGACCTTCCATTTTAAGAAGAGAATTAAAAAACAATAACTAGGGACCGGCCAGTGGCGCAATGGTTAAGAGCTGACTTGGGACGCCAGAGGGCCCCGGTTCGGATCCCACATATGAGGGCCACTGACACTGCCCTCCACAGCTAAGATGCTGAAGAACAGCTCAACCTGGAGCTGGACTTCTGTGAGATGCCGGCAACGGCGTAGACTGCAGCCCCTGTGGCAGTGGGTTGCCATGGGCTACTGTGTGTAGCAAGCAGACAGCGTGAGCAGCCAGCAGCCGCAGTGAGCAGCCGTCCAGAAGCCGGGGACTGATCTGCCTCGCCCGGGAAGAGCGCAATGATGGTGCCAACTTGGGCCAGTGAAGCGACATCCTCCACAACTAGACTGAAGAACAAAAGGACAGCAACTTGTCTGTTCCCCTTCCCCCAATTCCCCAGCGCTGTTCCCATCCCCCTGATTCCCCAATAAAAATCTTTAAAAAAAACAACAATAACTAGATTGTATAGTACATGAAACAATGTCTTAGTCTTTGCCCAAGCATCTGATCTTGTACTCCAAATAAAATCAGGTAAATATGACACTGTTTCACCTTGAGGTACATTTTTAGGGTGTAAACTATTTCCAGGGAATAAATGGTCCATTTGGGAAAATGGCAGGTATCAAAGCTGCCATTTCATCCATTATTGCTTCAAGGTATACTTTTTACCTCTTTCAAAAGTTAGCCCTGAAATGGGGGTTTCATGAGAAGCATTTTAATGTTATCATTCCTAGTCCTTTTCTGTGGGGCATTTTTCTATAGTTTCCAGAACTTGAAGCAAAGATTCTGAGGGAGTCAGGAGGCTATCAGTCTTGCCAGCATGAGGCCCTCTAACTGTGGCATGTGTGGTCTCGACATGAGACCCCTTCAATGCATACCCCTTAAAACATGGAGCTACTCAGCTAGGGTACCCACTCAGCCTGGGTCTCACAAAAGGAACTGGCAGCCTCCGAGGTTTTACAGCTCCCCTCAGGTTCTGAGATCCTGCTCTAAATCATATACACCTTTTTAGTGCCTGCCCTTGGAAAAGTGGAACTCTGTTCATACATTAAATTCAACCAACACTTAATGAACTTTCCCAGGAGCCCCGGAGTTGTTGGGGGGAAATTATCTACCCTTATACACAAATCCATTTTTTTTCTCAACCTGGGAGGGCTTATGAATAGTCCCATTTCATAAAAGAGAATTTAGGACCCAATAAAATTAAACTTGCCTATATTCACACAGATAGTTACCATTGGAAAATATACAGTCAGGAATCATGAAAAAGACAGGAAATTATAGACCTATTTTCCTTTGAGTACTTTTAAAATAACATATTGTCTTGTGTTCTAGGTATCAGGGAGATGGGCTAGCCTCAGGATCTGGCTGGTCTCTGCCTTGCTTTATAGGGTCAGATTTGTTTGTCCCAGCACCTGCACTCTCTGCCACTACCTTATAAGATGCCAATACACTCAAGAAAAATGCCGTGCCGCTAGTATTTAAAAGAGTAATTACCTGCTTTTTTATTTATTTGAAGGAGACTATTCTCCTGGGTAATAGGGGAAAACTGTTGAACTGCCAGTGGCTGAACGGAGACTAATTGCACCTCTGAGATCATGGCCACCGTTGTCTACACTGGCAGAGCACCAGCCCGCTCTGCACAGTCTGGTCACAGGCTGCATGAGGGCAGATACAGCCCCAGCATGTTATGTGGACTCCCAAGGTCTTTTGAAGACATGATGCAGCAACACTGAGTCCCCATTCTCCCACATCCACACTATTAGATGGAGAGGAGACGGCAGCCCATTCGATGGGTGTGTGTTCCCCAGTCCAACACTGTGACTACTTGGCCAACTCCCCTCATTTGAATTTTTGTCTATACTATGGAATTTTGGGAAAAAATGTGTGGGTGCACGAAGTTGGGAATTGACTCCTGAAAGTGTCAATGGAAACAACCTCACCAAAATGCCTATTTCATAGATAAATTCTCCAGGATTAGAAGAAGTTTCTGCACAAATTCTTTGTGATGGGCTATTAAGGACCCACTGAACAAGGATGAATCCACTGATAACTAACTTCACCACTTAGGGTCTCTGAAACAGGCAAAGCATTATTAAGAGTTGTACCTAACGCACATGAAGTCTTCTACATGAGGGCTCGGCAAATTGCAGCCTGTGGGTCCAAACCATCCTGCCCATTTCTGTAGATACAGATTTATTGGAACACAGCCATGGTGTTTGTTTCTGTGTCAACTCTGGCTGGTTTTGCACAACAACAGCAGAGTGGATTGGTTGTGACAGCCCACATGGTCCCCAAATTCTAAACTATTTACTCTTGGATATTTTACAGAAAAGTTTGCCAATTCCTCTTCTACACAATGGAAGAACAGGATGGATTTATGAGTTCATTGGGACACTAGAGGTATCAAAACGTTCAGGTGCGGGAGGCAAGCAAATCAAAGTTGAAATATAGCCTCTGATATCTATCTTTCACAGCTTTATAAAAGGGCATGATGATATATACACCTTGCAGGAGTTTTCAAAAGAATTTTATATCAAAAAACCCTTAGCATAGTGATTAGCAATTAAAAAGTTCTTGATAAAGTTGTGCCTCTTTTATGAGGAATTTGTAGTCTGAGTAGTCACCTCATAGACAAAGACACACAGCAGGCCCTGGCCTCAAAACTGGGACATAAGGTTAAGTGGACACAACTGACAGAAAAATCAGGACCATATTGGACTAGACCCTAAAGTGTTTTCTCTTTGTTTCCAAGTCAATGAGGACTGAGAAAGCAGAGCAAGGACAAACTCAACTCCAGGCGTCTAGCTTACCCTTGACCTTGGCAGTCAATTTGGCAGAAAGTTGAAAATGCTTGTGCTCTCTTCATGGACAGGTACATGTCTTGGGCCTGTGATACCTATCTGGTGGAAGCCAGAGCACCACTGGAAATAAAGACAGCACACAGATGCCCTGATTTGAATCTGCACCCCAAGATGACAAATACAGCACGTACACAAAAACACTGTTCTTTCAGGTTCTTCTTGTAAAAAACTCAAGCCCCATCTGGCAGTCACATGAAAGGAAACAATCATTTCAAGTTACAAAGTGTCTTGTGAACAGAAACTTTGAATGAGAGCACCTTAAATAATTGATGAGCAGTTACCGGAGCGTGTTGGGAGTCTTCACAGCATTGATTTTGGTCTGAACAAAACAGGGCTCTGCGAGCTCATGCCTTTGTCCTCTCCTATTTGGTGCTATGAATATTCACAGCCTGCTTACATGTTAGGAATGTGAAATGGTACTTTCTTCATGTTGTTCATCGCTCTCTGTGGGTAGGGTCCCTGACCCATCCTTTAATTATCAGCTTTGATTCTCTTAATGAGGAGTTATCAAAATAGTTCATGACACTAAATTATTAATCGAATAATTGTAATTAATGATCAAGGAATGGGAGCAAGCAAATGAACTTTGACCCTCTCCTTCCTACTCTGAAATCCTATTCTCAGTAGCTCCGTTTGGGTCTCTGAACTTCTCTGCCCTCTTTTGATTTTCATCTTCACTCTCACTTTGTTACATATATTAAGTTCAACATTCAGTGTTTTATAGACCATTCATGGACATCATAGGAAATAAAATCATGCCTTTGCTATTTTAGCATTGCAGTAACTGAAAAGAAAACATAAAAAGTAATCCATAGTTTCTCTCAAGCACTCTGTCACACAAATCAATAGAGCAGACTGCTTAGGTCAGCTCAGTATGGGCGTGGGTTGAGATAGGAATCAGGACAATACTTTGGAATATTTAAATACTTATGAGCGCTATATATCTGACAGAGGACTGAAATATTCTTAATGCCACAGTAAAGGAGCTAGAGTAAAACCACTAAGTCTCAACTTGAGAAAAAGTTAGTAACAACTCTTGAAACTGTCAAAGTCGGAAAAATGTTATTTGATGTTGCCTACTACTATTTCAATCAGCCTTTCCTGATTTGCTACTTGAGCACAGATGAAAAGTGGGAATAGGGGAGGGGATCTGTAAAAGATGCTGTGTCTGGCAGCCAGTGTGAGTGGCCAGCAGCTGGTGTGAGCCGCCATCCAATGGGCAGTGAATGACTGCCTCACCCGGGAAGAGCGCAATGATAATACCAACATGGGCCAGTGAAGCGACGTCCTCCACAACTAGATTGAAGAACAAAAGGACAGCAACTTGTCTGTTCCCCTTCCTGATTCCCCAATAAAATCTTAAAAAAAAAAAGATGCTGTGTCTGATATTCTCAAGGGAAAGGGACTTCACCTGCGGATAATCATTGTGGATAGCTATGATTTGGTGATGTAGGTATTTGAGCTGTGCTCAGGGAGTGAAATAGAAAGAGATTTAAGTGTGGTTGTTGTTTCATGTCTGATTAGACAAAAGACTGTCATAAAAGGTATCCCTGTTTGTTACTCCATTTATCTTCCTGTGGTTTAAAGAGAGCTGTGTTGGTTTCTCTTCTTCCTCCTGACACCTCAAATGCAAAAAAACAAAAAGGGTCAGAGTAGGGAGAGGTCCATTCAGGCTCAGAGTAGGGCCTGGAAAGTCAGATCTACTCAACAGAAAAATATTTGTAAAGATTAATAGATTTGACTACATAAAAAACAAAATTTGAACGTGGCAACACCACATAAACCAAACTAAAGGCTAAACTGGGAATCATATTTACAGATTTTATGGAAAACAAAATATTAATATCCGTGTAAACAGAGCTTTTACAAACTAGTTAACAAAAGATGAGCACCTCAACAGAAAAGTGAACAACAGGTACAATAATTCCCAAAAGAAGAATTAAAGAAAGGCCAGTGGCTTCCAGTTTCTGTTGAATAGTTGAGATTGAACAATCTTTCATGTATTGGTTTGGCCAATATTAAAAAGAAAGAGAATGCTTAGCAGTCACAGGGGTGTAGTGTTACACTGTGCATATTTGCATACCAGGAGCTTTAGCAGTATGGTATTTCTCAATATTTATACTTATAGGACTTTATGAGTTAAGAGGCCACGTGGCACGAGCAAGAATATGAATCAT